TGTATCAGTCTTTGACTGATTTTTATATTGACTATCATATTTACCTAATTTTCAAACAAATTTTGAAGTGTTAATTATAATTAGCATATGCCGCTATCATATTGGTATCTGAATACAATCACATTCTTGATAAAGACGTGTTGTATAATATTATATTTGTATGATATATGCTATATTTGCTATATGATTTTTTCAAACATTGATAAATAAATTACTAAACTCATTCTTGATAAAGACGTGTTGTATAATATTATATTTGTATGATATATGCTATATTTGCTATATGTTTTTTTCAAACATTTATAAATAAATTTCTAAACTAACTTATTAATGACTTTTTTTTTTATTTTGTATGACAAAAACATCACAGACGAATACATTGTCGTCGAAAACACTAACAAACACGAGGTCTAATTCATGAATAGATCAACAAAATGAGTTAGGTCATCGATTTAATTTGAGAAATTTTTATCATTTTCTGTTTTGTTAATTGTTAATGGACATTTTTGTTGTATATCTTAAATGCATTTTCATATTTGTAGGATTGATGTCATCAAACAAAGTTTGTAATTATATTTTTTATGAGGCAACTGAATGCATTTGAAAAGGAGTGAATTATAAAAGTATCAATACTTTGAAAAGATTCCATTGAGATCTATAGCAATAAGAACGACCTTGATGAAATTTTAAAACTAATTTTATGTGATGGGGAGGTATTATAATGTTAGAATTTGTCAATACTTTTCTTATAGAAGTTTCACTATTAGATTAATATGTTATTTTTTTATAATGTTTTTAGTGAAGTAATTTTCAAGTTACGTTGTCTAAGGACACACAATTGAAAAGTTCTGGAAAAACATACCAACTTCGAAATGGAAAAATAAGAGCAATCAATGCCTGTCTGGGAACAATTATCAGCAAATTATCAGCAATTTTCAGACCGTTGCACGTCATAGCCAGCCGAATTCTTTGACTTTTTAACTCATGATGGACCCACGAGTTGGAAAAAAGGGACTAGAAAATCAATTCTTTGGATGAAAATAGCTATCCCAGACAAGCTCTCAACATTTTCACATTATATACATAATTTCATAAAAAACTTTTATTCATATATATATATAACTCATACTCACATGGCTACACTAACATATCCCAAGAGAATGCACCTTAGTAAACCCGCAGCTTACATGAGAAACTTGAACACTGAGAGATCAACTTTCCATCATTGCAGCCATAAGCATCTTTAGAAAAAGATTTTTAACCCTATCCAAATTCTCCCTCCCGTCTCTTGCACTTATTTTTCCCCGTCCGGCAGTTGACTTGACCGTCAGACTGCGAACGGTCGCTAGACCTTTTTCTCGGTCGACGGTCTTTTGCCTCCTAAATGTTGGTTCAGTGTGCAGGTACGTGGCAGAGATTCTGTTGGACTATTTTTTGGGGTCAACAGATTGGTGCCGTCTGTGGAAATCTTTGATACCATAACCACGTACATCATAGTGGTAAACGTTGTGAGTGAAAACCAAAAGGCCACCGAAAGTTGAAGGATTTTTTGGGTAGTTTCTACTAGAAAAGGGCGAAGACAATAACAAAATAGGAAGAAAAACTGGCCACTGACGAAGATATGAAAATTTCCTTGGAAAAGGAATTTTTCGATGGCTGCATCTAGATGAAAAATGTTTGTCACTGGTGAAGATATGGAGAAAATGGAAGTTTCAACAAAGAGTTAAGACCGATCATGAAAGTGGCAACCGGAAGCAAATTGGTGAAATGGACTATTTAATCTAGAGGTTGGAGATACCAAAACTGGTGATTGGAAGCCAAAATTTCTGGTGCCATTCAAAAACAACTCCAAAAGGGGCCACCTGATGAGTAGATTAAATGAATCAGTCCACCTCCGAAAAGGGAGGAAAGAAGGAAAGTAAGAGCTTATATTCACCAGCCTATTTCTTGAGGAAAACACACCATTTCTGTGGTCGGTGCTTGTTTGCTAAATATTTTCCTCGATTAACCATGGCAAACATTATCTCTGGCAACCACCATTAAATCCATTGAAGCAGCCAGCAGTGCATAGTCCCCCACAAATTCAACAAGGAAAGCAGAGTCAAGAAAGTGGGGATTATTTCAACAAAAAATCGCCACATATTCTGCCAGCAAATTCAAAGAGAAGAAAGGAACCCATTATTCATGGGGCAAGATTCACGAAATTGGAGCAATAAGCATCTTGAGAAAATATATGGGGCCATTATTTATCCTCTGTAAATAAAACCAAAGGATCCTACCCTTTTTGTTTAAATGCAGACCACAGAAGCGAAACTAATGGTGGTGTTCGTCAGGTGTTTGAGAAAATGTTTGGGCCAAAATTCGCCTCCAAGCTCCAACCATGGTTGTTGAGCTGAACCGTGACACAACAATCACTATTTTATCAATCTCTGACAATAATCAGCACCATGCAGTATCACAGTCACCGGCAGTACATGGCCGAGCTTTGTCCAGTGTGCAAATACAAATTTTGGATGGATACAAGACATGGCGGTGGCGTGCAATTTAAACCAAAATATGATGTGGATGCATTTTTTGCATATTGATTTGCTAGCTGGTATACTTTTCAAAATTGTCCTTTTATTGACTTTTGCAACTCATTTCGGCTACTTCATGGGTTATCCCATTTGTTTGCTTGATCCCATTAGAACATATACCTAATTAAAGGTATGTTTGGAGCTTACATTTGGGTAGTGCATAATTGGGCCTAGGATTTATTTTCATTAGGCCTTTGGACCCCAATTTTACCCAACGCATTTGAGCCCATTTTATATTCCAATTTCCTAGTGCCATTTTCTCTTGGGCTCTTGCAATATGATACTAGGCCTTGTGGATTTTGTTTGAAAGTGGGCTTATTTGTAATGCTATAGTTCAAATGGATAAGCAACCAAGCCTGCCTCTAAAAATTTTTGGAAGAGGGATAGACATATTCTAGCTTTTTGGTCTCCAAAGGTAAACTACCTGGGAAGTGTTCTAAATTCAAAAATGGAGGAAAGCAACTAAAATGGTTATTGGAATCTACCAGCAGTTTCAATTCTTATTAATTTGGAAACCCGGTTTGGCATCTGGTGAATATGTGTTGGTGTTCTCTATATGGATACCTACATTTTACAAATTTAATTCCAATTCAAGGAGTTTGAGGACGCAGAATTATTTTCTTACCTTATAATTATCAGGCATCCGAGTAACATTAGTTTATTCCTATTGAGTTGCAAAATTAATTTGGCACCAAGTAGACATTTTCTTGTCGCCTTTTATGGTCCTCCATACAAGATTTCACGGGAAAGTATGATTATTCGGGTATCCTACAAATGCTCGACAAAATGCTTAAGTTTGGATTTTTCATTATTCGAAGGCTATATTGATTATTTTATATGATTCTCTATTATTCTAGGCAAGTTCTAAGACCTCGTAGGCCCTAGACTAGCCTTATCTCTCGGAGTCCTCATTCGTTGAATAACAGAAGAGGCGGTAGTTTCCAAAGTCCTTGTTCATTGAAAAAGGAAAAGGCAAATCGACAGATGCTTATTCCTCGCTTTGCGAGATGCTTATTCCTCACCTCTCACTATCGTTGAGCTTAGCTGTAAGACCTCATCCTTTTCGAGGCCAGTTTATAAGACTCCGATAGGTCGAGATCTATTCACGGGATGTTTATTCCCCTCCTCGCCAGATGCTTATTGCTGGCTTTGTGAGATGCTTATTCCTCAACTTTCACTATCGTTTAGCTTAACTGTAAGACCTCATCCTTTCCAAGGCCACTTTATGAGACTATGATAGTTCGAGATCTATTCACGAGATGTCAATTTCCCGCCACACTGATGCTTATCCCGGGTTGGAAATCTTGTTACTTGAATAAAGAAAAATGACACAGACATATAGCATTCCACACTGAATTGCACATCAAACAACATACATCTACATAGAAGAAATAAATGAGAGCGAAAAATATATCCTCACATCGTAATGTGTCACATCTCTGTCAGCCACTTGAACTAGAAAGTGATTCTCTTTCACGATCACCTTCCTTCCAACTGTGCCGCAACCTGGTCTCTTCGGAAACCTCATGCCCTTCGAAGAAACCGGTAGTGGCTACTGTTGCTCTGTCTGTTCCTACACGGTCACTGGAGCTGGTTACACCGGCTGATAAGCGGACGAAGCAGACGGGTCTAGAGTGAGTTTCTACTCGACCTCATCACTCAACGCCAAGGCAGAAAGAGTGGGATTGTGCTGGACGGACGGAGGAGTACATCGTTTGATGCGGAGCGTTGTAAACTCCGAAACGTCCCCGCCACGTCCGAATGATGGCGTCGGCTGCTGGTCGTGACCGTAGCCACCACCTCCCTTGTGTCCTCTTCCCTGTGCAGACATTTTTAGTTTTAAATCTTTTCGAGAGAGAATGTGTGGAGGGGTTTTCGCAGTATGTATGTTGAATGCAAAGCGAAGGGCAGCTCGTGGGTAGATTTGCTTATATAGGTAAAAAATATGTTACATGTACAAAAGGGTGACAAAAATGCCCCTCCAATAGGGGAGTGACGTTGGCAATTTTGTCACCTATTTGTACAAGTATCATTACTCTATACGCAAAGAGAACGTGAGACTGTTGAGGGGGGTTTTGTACGATACTAATTCATCATTTTTCTGCAAGTATAACTACACACAAGTATATGTTGAAATACACTGATAAATGATTTGTGCATATTCATATATAAAAAGTAGAGAAATAAGTAAACATAAATATATAAGACGCGTTCCTAAATAAAAGGAGCCTAAACATTGAAAATCCATTCATATTAATAAAATACGTATTGTTTATTATCGAAGATAAATGCATATACAGTATTCATACATTCGTATAAATGAAAAACATTCATAAAAATATACAGTCGCAAAAATGACACAGGCACATAGCATTGCAAACTGACGCGCACATCATACACCATATGTCTACGCAGAAGAAATAAATGAGAGCGAAAAACAAATCCTCGCATCGAAATGTGTCAGATCTCTGTCAGCCATTTGAACTAGAAAGTGATTCGCTTTCACGATCGATCACCTTCCTTCCAACAGCGCCGAAACCTAGTCTCCTCGGAGACCTCGTCCCCTTCGAAGAAACCGGTGGTGGCTGCTGTTGCTCTGTCTGTTCCTCCTCAGCCACCGGAGCTAGTTGCACCAGCTGATAAGCGGACGAAGCAGACGGGTCAAGATTGAGTTTCTACTCGACCTAATCACTCAACGCCAAGGTAGAAAGAGCGGGATTGTGCTGGACGGATGGAGGAGTACATCGTTGGATGCAAAAACGTTGTAAACTCCGAAATGCCCCCGCCACGTCCGAACGATGGCGTCGGCTGCTGGTCGCGATCGTAACCACCACCCTCCTTGTGTCCTCTTCCCCGTGCAGACATTTTTAGTTTTAAATATTTTCGAGAGAGAATGTGTGGAGGGGTTTTCGCAGTATGTACGTTGAATGCAAAGTGAAAGGTTGTTCGTGGGTAGATTCGCTTATATAGGGAAGAAATATGCTACATGTACAAAGGAGTGACAAAAATGCGCCTCCCACAGGGGAGTGACGTTGGCCATTTTGTCTCCTATTTGTACAAGTATCATTGCTCTATACGCAAAGAGAAGGTGGGACTGTTGAGGGGGGTTTTGTACGATACTAATTCATCATTTTTCTGCAAGTATGACTGCACACAAGTATATGTTGAAATACACTGATAAATGATTTGTTTATATTCACATATGAAAAGTAGAGAAATAAGTAAACACAGATATACAAGACGCGTTCCCAAATAAAAGGAGCCTAAACATTGAAAATCCATTCATATTAGTAAAACACGTATTGTTTATTATCGAAGATAAATGCATATACAATATTCATACATCCGCATAAATAAAGAACATTCATAAAAGTATATAGTCGGAAAAATGACACGGGCATATAGCATTGCACACTGACGCACACATCATACACCCTACGTCTACACAAAAGAAAAAAATCAAAGCGAAAGACATATCCTCGCATCGTAATGTGTCAGATCTCTGTCAGCCACTTGAACTAGAAAGTGATTCGCTTTCACGATCACCTTCCTTCCAACCATGCGGAAACCAGGTCTCCCCGGAGACCTCGTGCCCTTCGAAGAAACCGGTGGTGGCTGCTGTTGTTCTGTCTGTTCATCCTCAGCCATTGGAGCTAGTTACACCGACTGATAAGCAGACAAAGAAGACGGGTCCAGATTGAGTTTCTGCTCGACCTCATCACTCAACGCTAAGGCAGAAAGAGCGGGATTGTGCTGGATTGACGGAGGAGTACATCGCTCGATACGAAGCGTTGTAAGCTCCGAAACGCCCACGCCACGTCCGAATGATAGCGTCGACTGCTGGTCGCGACCGTAACCACCATCTCCCTTGCGTCCTCTTCCCCGTGCAGACATTTTTAGTTTTAAATCTTTTCGATAGAGAATGTGTGGAGGGGTATTCGCGGTATGTATGTTGAATGCAAAGTGAATGGCAGTTTGTGGGTAGATTTGCTTATATAGGGAAGAAATATGCTACATGCACAAAGGGGTGACAAAAATGCCCCTCCAATAGGGGAGTGACGTTGGCTATTTTGTCACCTATTTGTACAATATCATTGCTCTATAGGCAAAGAGAACGCGGGATAGTTGAGGGGGTTTTGTACGATACTAATTCATCATTTTTCTACAAGTATGACTACACACAAGTATATGTTGAAGTACACTGATAAATGATTTGTTTATATTCACATATAAAAAGTAGAGAAATGAGTAAACATAGATATACAAGACGCATTCCCAAATAAAAGGAGCCTAAACATTGAAAATCCATTCATATTAGTAAAACACGTATTGTTTATTATCGAAGATAAATGTATATACAGTATTCATACATCCGTATAAATAAAGAACATTCATAAAAGTATATAGCCGGAAAAATGACACGGGCATATAGCATTGCACACTGACGCGCACATCAGGCACCCTACGTCTAGAAAGTGAACTAGAAAGTGATTCGCTTTCACGATCACCTTCCTTCCAACTGTGTGGAAACCAGGTCTCCCTGGAGACCTCGTGCCCTTCGAAGAAACCGGTGGTGGATGCTGTTGCTCTGTCTGTTCCTCCTCAGCCACTGGAGCTGGTTACACCGACTGAAAAGCGGACGAAGCAGACGGGTCTAGATTGAGTTTCTGCTCGACCTCATCACTCAACGCCAAGGCAGAAAGAGCGGGATTGTGCTGGACGGATGGAGGAGTACATCGCTAGATGCCAAGCGTTGTAAACTCCGTAACGCCCCCGCCACGTCCGAATGATGGCGTCGGCTGCTGGTCGCGACCGTAACCACTACCTCCCTTGCGTCCTCTTCCCCGTGCATACATTTTTAATTTTAAATCTTTTCGAGAGAGAATGTGTGGAGGGGTTTTCGTAGTGTGTATGTTGAATGCAAAGTGAAGGGCAGTTCGTCGGTAGATTTTCTTATATAGTGAAGAAATATGGTACATGCACAGAGGGGTGACAAAAATGCCCCTCCAATAGGGAGTGACGTTGGTCATTTTGTCACCTATTTGTACAAGTATCATTGCTCTGTAGGCAAAGAGAACGTGGGACTGTTGAAGGGGGTTTTGTACGATACTAATTCACCATTTTTCTGCAAGTATGACTACACACAAGTATATGTTGAAATACAGTCATAAATGATTTGTGCATATTCACATATAAAAAGTAGAGAAAAAAGTAAACATAGATATACAAGACGCGTTCCCAAATAAAAGGAGCCTAAACATTGAAAATCCATTCATATTAATAAAACAGGTGTTGTTTATTTTCGAAGATAAATGCATATACAGTATTCTCACATCCGTATAATAAAGAACATTCATAAAAATATATAGTCGGAAAAATGACACGGGCATATAGCATTGCACACTGACGCGTACATCAGACACCCTACGTCTACATGGAAGAAATAAATGAGAGCGAAAAACATATCCTCGCATCGTAACGTGTCAGAACTCTGTCTCCACTCGAATTAGAAAGTGATTCGCTTTCACGATCACCTTCCTTCCAACTGTGCCGAAACTTGGTATCCCCGGAGACCTCTTGCCCTTCGAAGAAACTGGTGGAGGCTGCTGTTGCTCTGTCTGTTCGTCCTCAGCCACTGGAGCTGGTTACACCGACTGAAAAGCGGACGAAGCAGACGGGTCTAGATTGAGTTTCTGCTCGACCTCATCACTCAACGCCAAGGCAAAAAGAGCGGGATTGTGCTGGACGGACGGAGGGGTACATCGCTCGATGTGAATCGTTGTAAACTCCGAAACGCCCCCGCCATGTCCGAATGATGGCGTCGGCTGCTGGTCGCGACCGTAACCACCACTTCCCTTGCGTCCTCTTCCCCGTGCAGACATTTTTAGTTTTAAATCTTTTCGAGAGAGAATGTGTGGAGAGGTTTTTGCTGTATGTACGTTGAATGCAAAGTGAATGGCAGTTCGTGGGTAGATTCGCTTATATAGGGAAGAAATATGCTACATGTACAAAGGAGTGACAAAAATGCGCCTCCCACAGGGGAGTGACGTTGGCCATTTTGTCTCCTATTTGTACAAGTATCATTGCTCTATACGCAAAGAGAAGGTGGGACTGTTGAGGGGGGTTTTGTACGATACTAATTCATCATTTTTCTGCAAGTATGACTGCACACAAGTATATGTTGAAATACACTGATAAATGATTTGTTTATATTCACATATAAAAAGTAGAGAAATAAGTAAATACAGATATACAAGACGCGTTCCCAAATAAAAGGAGCCTAAACATTGAAAATCCATTCATATTAGTAAAACACGTATATTTTATTATCGAAGATAAATGCATATACAGTATTCACGCATCCGTATAATAAAGAACATTCATAAAAATATATAGTCAGAAAAATGACACGAGCATATAGCAATGCACACTGACGCGTACATCAGTCACCCAACGTCTACACAGAAGAAATAAATGAGAGCGAAAGACATATCCTCGCATCGTAATGTGTCAGATCTCTGTCAGCCACTTGAACTAGAAAGTGATTCGCTTTCACGATCACCTTCCTTCCCACTGTGCGGAAACCAGGTCTCCCCGGAGACCTCGTGCCCTTCGAAGAAATCGGTGGTGGCTGCTGTTGCTCTGTCTGTTCCTCCTCAGCCACTGGAGCTGGTTACACCAACTGAAAGGCGGACAAATCAGATGGGTCTAGATTGAGTTTCTGCTCGACCTCATCACTCAATGCCAAGGCAGAAAGAGCGGGATTGTACTGGACGAACGGAGGAGTACATCGTTCGATGCAAAGCGTTGTAAACTCCGAAACGCCCCCACCACGTTCGAATGATGGCGTCGGCTGCTGGTCGCGACCGTAACCACCACCTCCCTTGCGTCCTCTTCCCCGTGCAGACATTTTTAGTTTTAAATCTTTTCGAGAGAGAATGTGTGGAGGGGTTTTCGCAGCATGTATGTTGAATGCAAAGTGAAGGGCAGTTCGTGGGTAGATTTGCTTATATAGGGAAGAAATATTCTACACGTACAAAAGGGTGACAAAAATGCCCCTCCAGCAGGGGAGTGACGTTGGCCATTTTGTCTCCTATTTGTACAAGTATCATTGCTCTATACGCAAAGAGAACGTGAGACTGTTGAGGGGGGTTTTGTACGATACTAATTCATCATTTTTCTGCAAGTATGACTACACACAAGTATATGTTGAAATACACAAATAAATGATTCGTTTATATTCACATATAAAAAGTAGAGAAATAAGTAAACACAGATATACAAGACGCGTTCCCAAATGAAAGGAGCCGAAACATTGAAAATCCATTCATATTAGTAAAACACGTATTGTTTATTATCGAAGATAAATGCATATACAGTATTCATACATCCGTATAAATAAAGAACATTCATAAAAGTATATAGTCGGAAAAATGACACGGGCATATAGCATTGCACACTCATGCGCACATCAGACACCATACGTCTACACAAAAGAAAAAAATCAGAGCGAAAGACATATCCTCGCATCGTAATGTGCCAGATCTCTGTCAGCCACTTGAACTAGAAAGTGATTCTCTTTCACGATCACCTTCCGTCCAACTGTGCGGAAACCAAGTCTCTCCGGAGACCTCGTGCCCTTCGAAGAAACCGGTGGTGGCTGCTGTTGCTCTGTCTGTTCATCCTCAGCCACTGGAGCTGGTTACACCAACTGATAAGCGGACGAAGCAAATGGGTCTAGATTGAGTTTCTGTTCGACCTCATCACTCAACGCCAAGACAGAAAGAGCGGGATTGTGCTGGATTGACGGAGGAGTACAACGCTCGATGCGAAGCGTTGTAAACTCCGAAACGCCCACACCACGTCCGAATGATGGCGTCGGCTGCTGGTCACGACCGTAACCACCACCTCCCTTGCGTCCTCTTCCCCGTGCAGACATTTTTAGTTTTAAATCTTTTCGAGAGAGAATGTGTGGAGGGGTTTTCGCAATATGTATGTTGAATGCAAAGTGAAAGGTTGTTCGTGGGTAGATTTGCTTATATAGGGAAGAAATATGCTACATGTACAAAGGGGTGACAAAAATGCCCCTCCAATAGGGGAGTGACGTTGGCTATTTTGGCACCTATTTGTACAAGTATCATTGATCTATAGGCAAAGAGAACGTGGGACTGTTGAGGGGGGTTTTGTACGATACTAATTCATCATTTTTCTGCAAGTATGACTACACACAAGTATATGTTGAAATACACAAATAAATGATTTGTTTATATTCACATATAAAAAGTAGAGAAATAAGTAAACACAGATATACAAGACGCGTTCCCAAATAAAAGGAGCCTAAACATTGAAAATCCATTCATATTAATAAAACACGTATTGTTTATTATCAAAGATAGATGCATATACAGTATTCATACATCCGTATAAATAAAGAACATTCATAAAAGTATATTGTCGGAAAAATGACACGGGCATATAGCATTGCACACTGATGCGCACATCAGACACCCTACGTCTACACAAAAGAAAAAAATCAGAGCGAAAGACATATCCTCGTATCGTAATATGTCAGATCACTATCAGCCACTTGAACTTGAAAGTGATTCGCTTTCACGATCACCTTCCTTCCAACTGTGCGGAAACCAGGTCTCTCCGGAGACCTCGTGCCCTTCGAAGAAACTGGTGGTGGCTGCTGTTGCTCTGTCTGTTCGTCCTCAGCCACTGGAGCTGGTTACACCGACTGATAAGCGGACGAAGCAAACGGGTCTAGATTGAGTTTCTGCTCGACCTCATCACTCAACGCCAGATTGTGCTGGACTAACGGAGGAGTACATCGCTCGATGCGAAGCATTGTAAACTCCGAAACGCCCACGCCACATCCGAATGATGGCGTCGGCTGCTGGTCACGACCGTAACCACCACCTCCCTTGCGTCCTCTTCCCCGTGCAGACATTTTTAGTTTTAAATCTTTTCGGGAGAGAATGTGTGGAGGGGTTTTCGCAGTATGTATGTTGAATGCAAAGTGAAGGGTTGTTCGTGGGTAGGTTTGCTTATATAGGGAAGAAATATGCTACATGTACAAAGGGGTGACAAAAATGCCCCTCCAATAGGGGAGTGACGTTGGCTATTTTGGCACCTATTTGTACAAGTATCATTGATCTATACGCAAAGAGAACGTGGGACTGTTGAGGGGGGTTTTGTACGATACTAATTCATCATTTTTCTGCAAGTATGACTACACACAAGTATATGTTGAAATACACAAATAAATGATTTGTTTATATTCACATATAAAAAGTAGAGAAATAAGTAAACACAGATATACAAGACGCGTTCCCAAATAAAAGGAGCCTAAACATTGAAAATCTATTCATATTAATAAAACACGTATTGTTTATTATCGAAGATAGATGCATATACAGTATTCATACATCCGTATAAATAAAGAACATTCATAAAAGTATATAGTCGGAAAAATGACACGGGCATATAGCATTGCACACTGACGCGCACATCAGACACCCTACGTCTACACAAAAGAAAAAAATCAGAGTGAAAGACATATCCTCGTATCGTAATAAGTCAGATCTCTGTCAGCCACTTGAACTAGAAAGTGATTCGCTTTCACGATCACCTTCCTTCCAACTGCTAATAATTCTTTTTCAATGATTGAATTATTTACTTCAACATTATTAAATGTTCCACTAGTATATCTACAAATTTCATTTAAGTCAGTTTTTAATAAAACACTCCAATATAAATCTGATGCACTTGTTTGTACAATTAGTTTATCTTTTTCATATGGGAGTCTAAGTTTAAGTAAAATTTTACAAATTTTTTGAAAATTTTTAACACAAAGAGAATGTTCTTCATTCCATCCTACCTTATTTGACTTTTTTAATAGTTTCTGAAATTTTTTTTTCTGTAAGTTTTTCTATAAATCTTTCAGCATAATTAAGGCATTCTAAGGATTTTTGAATTTGTTGCTTATTTTCAAGTTTATCAGAAAATAAAATTATTTTTCTGAAATATGATGTTATAATTTTATTCCATCATAATTTATTATCATTACTAAAAATTCAATTTCATTTTTTGTTATTTCTGCCTTTTTCCGACTAAGTATTATACCTTCTTTTGAGCAAAGTGTAGCAAAATTTTTAAGACGTTTAAGATGATCTTCATATGTTTTTGGGCAAACAAGTATGTCATCAACATAAACAATAAAAAAATTATAAGTTTTAAAGACTTCATACATTCTTCTTTGATAAATTTGTGGTGCGTTTTTTAATCCAAATGACATAACTATCCATTCATAATGTTGTTAATGGGTACTAAATGCTGTTAATGATATACTATTTTCTTCAAGTTTGATTTGCCAAAATCCAGATTTGCAATCAAATTTTGAATAATATTTTTTATTTTTTGCTATATTTATTAAAACTTCTTTATTTGGTAGATAATATCCATCAAATTTAGTGTTTTTATTAAGTTCTTTATAATTTACAATCATCTTAGGTTTTCCTCTTTTTATTTCTGAATGATTTCTAACCATAAAAGATGGACTATTATGAGGACTATTACTTCTTCTCATAAGTTTTGGATTAAAAAGTTCTTGAATTTGTACTTGAATTCTTCTTTATCTTCTTGATTATAAAACATATGTATGACTCTAATAATGATTGTTGGTTCTAATAATTCTATTTTAGCTGTTGTTTTTTATTTTTCTCATTTTTCAAGTGTGTTTTCATTATAATTTTTGGCTAAAAGATCTTTTATTTGATCAAGAGTAATTGTTTTGATTGAATAATTAAGTAATATTGGTATAAATTCTATCTTTTCACCACGCTGAGTTGACTGAACTCTAAATTGTTTAAATTCTCTAGCAATTTTCATTAAATGTCCACATGATATTTTTAATTGAATAGTATAAATATTTTGACTATATTGACAAACCTGTTGTAAAAAGTCATTTTTTAAAATAATATCACAATCATTTATATTATATTGGTAAACATTTCTTATAGTTACTATTTTAGATCCTATGGTAATTTATATATTTTTATTTTTGTATTTTAAGGATTATTTTTTTCCAATTATTCCTTGTAGAGTTAATTGTTGTTTATTTTCAATCCAATTTATTAATAAAAATTCTTTAAAGACAGTTATTTCAGCTCCTGTATCAATTAAAGCACAAGTAGTTATTTTTTATTCGAATACGATTATTTGTATATATACACTTATTGGAAATTTTATTTCTCTACTCATTTTTCTTTAGGGCAATAGGTAGTTATTCCTTGATGTGTAATAAAAATTCATTCCTTATCTATTTTGTAATTATCAAGACTATTTAAGAATGAATTTCTTAATAATATTGGATGTTCATCAAAATTCATGTTATTATCAATATAACATTCTATACTTAATAATAAATTTTCTAGTTTGATTTGAACTTGTCCTATGATATTACAAGAGTTTATCTTTTCTTCAAAATCTCTATAATTATAAGGTTCTACTTTTTTCTTTTTAATTCATTCATCTATAAGAGAGCAAATATGATTCTGACTTGCTCCAATATCAATAAGTATTTTACTTTCATTTATTCATTTGTCCATTAAAGAATTTTCCTTTAATTCCATGTACACTATTATTCTTATTTTGTTTTATTTTTGAAATCCTATGTCTTGATATATTATCTACAATAATAATCTTATTTTCTTTATATATTATTTATTTTGGTATAATAGGTTGATCTATACGTATAGCATCATCATGTTCTATTTCAAAATTTTTTATTTCCTCTATATCTTGTTCTCTAGGTAGAATTGCTTATCCTATATCTCTAAATTCATCTTCAATCTCTATAAAAAAGGTTTTTCTTTATATATATTTCCATAATTACTATTTGTATAACAATATAATTCTTGATATAATATAGTAAAAACTTTATTATCATCTTTCAATATTTTATTAGTCATTTTAAAATGTAAACTAAGACAATCATCTAAATTTTAATCATTTATATGCACACAAAATCTTGGATAACAAGTAAATTTTAATTTTCCATATGTTAAATTTCCTTTAACTATTCCTAAATTTTCATTTTCTACGGTTATACATCTTTTATCTTGTAAATTAAGTATTATAGGACTATTAATTCCTTCTTTAAAATATGATTTTATTATTATTTGCACTTCTGCAAGGTAGACATAAGATATTTTACTTCTCTTTTCTTGTTTTAATTTTCCTAAAAATTCATTAACATTTTTTTTGTTATTAGAATTAATTTTATTTTTCTTTGTGTATGTTTAATATCTATGACTTTTTCTATCTCATGATATTCATTAATAACTATCTTCTTTCTTTTAAAAGATTATCCTATAATATTAAATAATCTATTTTCTCCATGTGGTTTTAAATTTAATTCTGCTCTATTGATTTTTCTAAACTTTTCCCAATTAAATTTTCCATTTAGAGCATATCTTTCTACTACTTCGTATACTTCAGTTTCTAAATCCTCAGAATTTTCAATTTCCATGATCTCTAGTGTTATAACTCCTCAGAATTTTTAATATAGTGCTCTGATACCATTTTATGGGGGGTTTTCAATAAAACAAAAATACAATTTAAATAGTAAACAAAATCTTTAAATTCTTGGGTTTAATAAGTGGAAAGAGTTAATGGTGAAAAAAAGTTAAAATCTTAGAATGACTTGTTAGACAATTTTTTTTTTTTTTTTTTATCTTGAGGGTATTTTAGGAACTTTAAAATGGTCAAAGGCCATTCTCGAATTATGGCTTCAATTTCAGGCTATTTCTATGTATTTCCCCAATTAAATTTCTTACTCTATCGTGCAAGATTTTGTAGGTTATGGTAAAGAAAGTTTAGCAGGTCAAGTGGACCACTGGACATGATCAAGTCAATAAGAAATTAAATTTTACT